GTTCTTTGATGTTGTTCAGCTGTTTCCTTCCACTTTACCACACAGGAACTCCTAAGGAAATGGTATTTTAAACACGCATACAAAAGGTATATTGAAATATTACGAGTACCTAAAGCAGTAGATCTTAAAGGCCAAACGTAGAGCGCAAATCATATTTACAATCAATATTCTCAACCGCAAGCGAGTAACATGAGTGGAAAATTAATAAAATGCACTGGAAAGTTAAACACGTTTCATACGATATTGCATTTACGCAAGAAAATGATCGCGCGAGTAAATATTGAGCTGACATCATAGACATATTGAGGTTACCGAAGTAAACGAGGTGCAAGATACAGTGACACCGCGCTAAGAGCGTGTGCAATATGTGCTATATTGAAAGTCAACGAGACGTGTAGATGGTCTTTCAATTATGGGAGTGCAGGGTGAAGCTGCAAATCTCGTGTCAGCACAATGGATACACGTTCATTTTCGGCGCTTCGTGAAGCCGTAAAAGTTTTCTGCAACTTGTACATGTGCCAAACTGTTCCTCAAGCCAATGACAATTTGTGAGCTACATTCATAGATAGAATTCATTCAGAAATTTCAAGTAACTTCGAAGTCTCACAACCAACTTTTTTAATAAAACCTCTTTGTCTTTGTATGAAGAAAATTTTAACTGTATTCTCCTTATTATGAAGCGAAAATTGTTCTACATTTACTTTAGAAAGTAGCCCTAAAGGAGGGAAATGATGCAATCGCACCCAACATAATAAGTAAATCGATTTCGTTTTAACACCCTGTACCAATTTTTGCATAGAAATTAGAATAATTAAAATCACAGCGGAAACTCGAACTACGTCTTCAAAGAAAACGGACAAAGCGACTCTATACAAAGGACCCGAACAATGGCATAGAAAATAAATACTCTATACAATACATTTCGCCAATAGCTTTTTGTTGTACATTAATATTTTTGTATCATGAAGATTAGCTTAATTTTCAATTGGAGAACGAAAAAGTAATATCGTCGTATTTTTAAAAGCAATACAGGGTTGTCCCAACAATTAAATTGTGGGATGTCGACCGTTAATTCTTTTTGTCACGGTTCATACATTATTTTTTGTGGTATGCGAGAATTGTACCATTGCGGTTTTGTCAGCGACGAGTGTTTCGTTAATATATGGCTGGACAGAAATTCTTTGTTTATTTAAAATTTATCACAGGTGCGCCTTGTTATTTGGCGATATTTTATATTACAGATTCAAAATTTAGTAGTTACATAACTTACTTAATTAGTTTCTACCGCACTTGGTGTCGCCAGTTTGAGATTGAGCTAACACGATAAATACTTCAGCTGACTCCACACACTGCTTGGAATATCTTGGGATTCGCGGTAATTACTTGGAAAATTCTAAAAGCTATGGAATATTATGAATATTTTAGGAGTCACTAAGTGGATGTCGCATAAGAATGGGTTTATGCAATTTTCATGAATATGAATTAAAAATTACATTAGATTCTACTTCTGAAAGCCAGACAAATAAAAATCAGTTTAGGTGGCGCCACATGATTAAAAGCGAGCAGGGAATTTCCTAAATCAGTAAATTTGTCATCCACTGCTACTTAATGGTTGATTACTTGTCAATATTACGTCATAGTGCTCAAAATCTCTTAACGTTTTTCTTCTGTTTTTTTTTATCAACAACATCAAAGAAAAAAGTGTTTTGGTGTGTTCGATAAACACTAATAAATAACCTAAGTATAGTTTTCATAAACTAGTCATATAGCTCATTATTAGTTGTATCCATCAAGTTGGAAACTATGCTGGGTGAACTTAGCCGTTACTTTAGCCTGGAGTAGGTCGAGCCTGGGGACCTGCGTAGTATCTCGCCGAGCCAATATTGTTTCAAGATACTAATTAAACGTAATGAGATATTGTGTATGCTTCGAATACACTCCGTTTGAATCCGAGCTAATATCGCAGAAGCACTTTTAGCATGTAATAGCGTGTTTAAGCAATGAGGCTCGAAATTGCAGTAAACGTTACCATGCATATTTGTATATTTGTTTTAACTCAATTACAATTTGTAATTATAAAAATAATTTTTAATTCTTTGGAGTAGAAAAAGTAGATTATAAATACAATGAATAAACTAAGTTTATCGGCAGTCTTCCACAATTTTTAATTTGATGCTGCATAATGCGCAAATCATGTAAGAAAAAGCAAGTAATAGCAAAAAATATCAGGAACTAGTCCAATGTGAAAAATATTTTTGTGTTGAATAGCACATTTATCGAGGAACGCTTTAGGGTATATAACATCATCCTACAGCCAATAGGGGCGGAGCAGTGAAGAAAAATGTTGCAAAAACTGGAAATATTATTCAAACTATTTTCACGCGTAGTCGCGGGCACAACTAGTAAGTATCTAATATGGCTTCTTATGGCTCTTTAAAGCAATCATAGCAAAGTTACTCAAACTTGGCCACCGCAATATTCAGCAGCAGTGCAGTGCGAGTTTCAAACACCGCGCTATCTCTAATCAATACGATTTGCTAATCGATTTGTGGTCATTATTGTTCTACGATGTGCAGGGTCTAAGTTCTGGATACGACTTCCGTCTAGAAACTATTAACACACATAACACAATAATATTGATTGCTTCATTCCATTCTTCCGTTACGATATTGCTTAGTTACATCTTGCATTATGCTTTCCAGAAGCTATTGATTTGGGTTATTCAATTGTATAAAAATTGCTTTCCATACAATTGGATAATGAGTTGAAAAACATAACCCTCCTTGTTTGTTATTATGATTACCTTACTGAGATTTGTTACTTATGACGTCATCGTGAGCGTATCCATCACTTTAGACTTACTTACTTTTTAATCTAAAGTGAAAAAATATCCGCGCTCTATCGCCGCCATTTCTAACTATTGCAACGAATTATATTCCCTATGCACTTTAATTACTAGCTATTATCTGGTAGGGCGTCTCCTGAGACTGCTACACAGTTTACTCAGCTCTCAAGTCTAATAGGTACCGAACAAGTTGTAATTTAGTATGCAAAATGTATGTGATTTCGCGCGTGATGTACTACGACAAGACGAGCGCGAGACGTACTTCATTTGGACTTTCAAAAGCTCGCTGACAAGGCTTTCTCCGCTGTAATAATATTTAGGAAGGTGTCAAAAGAAGTATTTGTTGAACGATCGTGTTGAGTTGAGTGGTGTTCAATAAACTACCCGGATATTTTCTGCAGACAAAAGTTGGACACAAATGCGTTTTATATCATACAAAATTAGATGTCGTAAGTATCAAAAGTTTACAAAAATAAGGAAATATCCAAAATAATCTGTTCATGAAATGTAGGTATTTGTTGCGTATTTGTAATTTTAACAAGATCGAGGCAATGAAAATGAAAATTATTATTTATTAAATACTAGGAATCTTCTTAAAGCATGTAAATATTTAAACTTCTACACATGTAGCATGGATTCTTAACTCTAGTGTCGATTTATAACTCGAAAGCGCATGCCAAGAATATTTAAGCGCATACTCGTCCTAGTCTTCGACAATGGAATACCGATATACCTACCTACTTATATTTCCATTTCCCAAAACAGCTTACCGTATGTTACACTTTTGCGTAGACCATTTCATAAAATATTCCTAATCTAGTGAAGCTGAAAATGTGGTAAAACGAATTTTAACATCGATTTCAGCTCTAAAACTAAGTTGTAATAAGCTCAAGTAATTCAGGGACATTAAAATAGACGAGTTTCATTCTTATTTAATACAATGACTGATAAATTTGTATTCTGCCCTTTTTATAGTAGCCCATTTACATTTAAATCTGCGAGGGGCTTAAATGGAAACTTTCAGTCTCGCTACATTATCTGCGTGCCTATTCGCTTGTCAGAGTTCTCCAACTTATAATCAGGATAAACTACGATGGATTTGAAAATACCAACTTTACACAAAATTGGAACTTTAATTAATTACGCAACTTATTAAACGACATTGTATTGACAACATCTAATTAAGACGTTAATGCCAACTTATAGAATTAATTAGAGGATCCTATTAGGAAAGAAACGCGCGTTCTTCAGTTGAAAACAAGGTAATGTGATTTCTTGGAAATGAAACGGTAATACTCGTACTTTTCATGATATTCCCACTTTCTCTTACGGTTTCAAGACGCACACGTCTTCATTACTATTACGAGAGGCTATTTGCAGTTTAGTGCCTTTCTTTGTTCCAATGGTCACATTTAGCAAAAACAAATACACAACCTTTGGGTCCGAAACGACGCCGCGACGTTAGAATAATCTCTCTAAAACCGCTACCGTGAGTTACTCGCAGGATCGGGGTTAAGGCGGAACTCGTTATACGTAGCGTTGAACTTAATTGTATACTCCAAAGAATTAGCAGGAGTAATTAATTGAATGCTACTGTTCCAGAACGCCTGGATAACTACGGACACTTTTTTAGATTTCGGATAGCGATAAACTTTATATGCTAATTTAATTTGTACGTTTAAAGCAAATTATGACGAAACTTTTGGTCTAGCATTTGTGCCGTTTTATAAGCCCAGTGAGTCTGCGCTGAAAACCTGTATAGATAGGCACTAAGTTCCAAATATGATTAATTAAGTAATTAAGTAATTAGAGGTCTTATCTAAGATAATGTCTTTGATTGAAATCTACATCAAACGGCTGCGGTATTTGATCATAGACAGTTATTATTTTATATCTGTTTTGTATTTCGTTCATGATTTGAAATTAACAAATCCTTTGAGCATTCAGATTACTCACGTCACGTGTATCTCTGTCGTATCAACGCACCGTTTTCTCAGAAACCAGAGCATAAACGTTGTACGAAGATATTATAGCTTGTTCACCAAGCTTCGTTATTGATATAAAGCTTGTTACTTACAGTCGTGATCTAGCTTGAAGAAGATACAGCTTTAAGTCGTCATATTTGGAACGAAGTGATGTAAAGCTAGGTACTTACATTCGTCGTGATCTTTGGCGGTGACGGTGAGGACGGTGTGTTGGATGTCCTCATTCTCGTCGACCTCCGCCTCATACAGCTCCTTGTCAAAGTACGGAGGGTTGTCATTCTTGTCCGCGATGCCGATACGGATGAATTTTGTCACTATAACAAAAAAAAACTTAGTTTTAGCTACGATTATAAAATATTTAAAATTAAAACATAATATATCTCACTAGTGCTTCTAACATCGCTAAAATGAACCTCCCCAAGGAGCTAAAGACTTTACCGAAGTTCGCTCCTGTTTCAGCTAAACTGAAGCAGTTTCTAACTTTGAATGCACGATATGTGGAAAATCAACTGTTATATTATCAATATTGTTAGCAATTTCGAGAGAATACCTGCAGAGTTGTTTTATCAAGTGTTCGACTAGTACAAACAACAATTTTCAAGATAAAATATCGAGAAGAAAAAGATGTTACGTCTATAAAAATATCGGACACGAACAACGATAATAATTATTAACACAAGAAACGGCAATCTCTTCAATTCGGAAAGATTTATGCTACACAATCTTGAATGAGATGACCCAAATGAGTACTAATCTGAGTGCTTCCGAGGAAGCGTATCGAAAAAAGAAATCTAGACGGAAATTGCTTTCGTTTGAGGCGCTCTTTAACAATGATAAATTAGGGCCCCGCTGGGCTGAATGTCCGGCGACTTTATTAAGTAAGCATACCGTTTATTTTGTACACACTGCGCCAATATAAACCTTCTGCAGTTGACACAAGTCCGTACTAATTTCGCCGCATAGAGGCGGCAGTTCCGCTTTGTGTCGCCTCGGTGGCATCTAAACTACGTTCCCTTATTTCGGCTTCTGTAACGAGTTGGTGACAACAGTCTAGTTCGACGCTAGACTATATTACTATTCAATACTGAACATACTCTGGTTACTAATATTTTCGTAGAAACTGCTTCTACCAACACCAAAGTTCGATTATCAAACTTGTCCATTATCGTCTAGTCTATAGAGCCTGTCGATGTAAATAGTTACAATTAGAACTGATTGAAGATTGTTCCAGAGTTCACAATTTATCGACTAAGTACTTGTCTTCCAAGTTGTCAGGAGTTTGTAGTTTGTAAAGGATTCTTACAGTAATAAATGTACCCAATTAAATTCGAGAATCTCATCACACAAAAAACATTGATTTGACAGCCTTAAAAGAAATGTTTTTCACCGATAAGGATTCATTATACCTACATTTTGTAAATATTTACATTGTTATTTTTCTTTTCATTTCGCTTAAAGCGGACTTGTTTACTTACTGGAATTTCGTCCGGCTCGTGATAAGTAATGATTTTTTAGTAGGTAGCAAGGTACAGCTAATTTTATCTTATTTTCTTTTGTTATATTTAGAGGCAGCAAAAACTCAATAGCTTTCTGACGTAATCCTTAGGAGTTTAATAAGAAGTCAACATCAACAAAAAGTGGTAGCATTATCCGGGCCTTAAAGAAGCATTAGCGGCGGCCATTTGAGGCTAACGCATGTCGCCCCTCTCGGATCAATTTTTAACCACATCCTTGACTTTTGTTTTTCGTCGTAACTCCAAAGTTGGGTCGGTACGGCCATAAAAACTAATCAGCGACGTTAAGCGGTGCCCTAACGACACTGGCAGCGAGTTTTGACAAACACGCGGGGGCCAGTCCCTGTAACTTTAGCGGGACAATTTCGTTACAAAACTCTCCCGACGCTCCAAGTCCCATAAAAATACGTCGACATCTCGTTGTTATAATTAAATAATCCCACAGCGCTAAAATCATTCCGCTCGAAGTTAAGAACACGCTAAGCGCTGGAAAAATGTAGCAAAAATTACGGAGATCCGTAATTAATAAAGTTTTAACAACTTTTACAAATGCCCCTGTTTCTATATTATTTTGTGTTTTATTAAGTTAAACATAATGTCTTTGATAATTATGATGATTATGTTCTTTTGTTAAGATAGATAAAAAATTAACACAAGTAGCTGCTACTTTACTTACTACATTATGTATGTGCCTCTGTTAATAAACAGCAGGACTTGAAGGAAACAAAAGAGTCTTAATTTTTATTGATGTCACAAAGTTAGAAGATGAGGCAATATAAATTGCTTACTTACACATTTTGGCAATTCCATAGGTACAAAAAGTCTTAATAAACGATTCATTACACGAACTGACTTGAAAGTAAAAATAAACAGCAAACGCAAAAATGTGTCGAGATTACGTATAATTTTCCAAACAAACATTGGAAATGCGGGCGTAGTTTTTCATTCAGTAGGTGCCTACGTATGCACTTCGAAAGTTCATTAAAAATTTTCTTTGGAAACAAAGGCTAATTAGCGCGTAACAGAAGCACCGCGCGGCTCTAAAGAAAATTGTTGATTGTATTTGCTTGTTCGCTGTCGGGTGCTTACGCGACAAAGTTTCGCTATCGACGACTATATTAGAACGGCCATTTGAAACTTACGTCAAAGAAAGTATTGCTCAATAGCACCATTGAGCTATGCTAAGTACCTTTCCACTTCAATTAAGCACTGGAAGAGTTAAAGCGACTGCTAATTTGAAAGCATCAAAATGAAATAAGAGCAAAAAGATTTGGCACTACGTCAGATTCATTATTTTTATGGCCAAAAGATCGTGAGATTTGCTTCATTTTGATAGGATTTATGCATTCCAACGAAAATATCATAGCTAAAATTTGAACTGACAAAATAGCTGAAACATTGCCAGGAAAAATATCATAGTCTATAGGTAATTCATACGGCGTAATTGTTGTGTGAGATAAGAGATAAAAGCAATTAAATGAATTATTACTACGACCACACATTCTATATTGGGAGAATATGGTTAATAAGCTGTTATTCTAGTCGTTTATTCGATTATTTTAGCCTAATCTGTGCAGAGTTTGATATGTTTGTGTTTGACCAATCGCGCAAGTATTAACATTAGTATTCCCCGTGCAGGGTAATCAAATACACCGCTACGGCTCCGTAACGAGGCTATATACAAACATCTATGCCGATCTACGCGATCGAGATACAAAATCAACCAGCTACTCGAAATCGATACATTCTTGTCTAAGCACCTAAGTTGGTAGATAGCATGAGTTATAGTATAAAGTCGACGAAGTTTCATGGAACTTGCAATAGTGATAGGTAAAGCTAGGAAAAGGTCACGGGATACTTTTCATTCCGATTAAACATTGTGCTCCCGAGGGAAGAGCGATAAAAGTATTTTGTGAGCTGAAGGTAGTAGTCAAGTGCGGGATATGTTTTTAAGTTTTAAAAGATACTGCTTCTTGGAATCTTCTTTACCTACATTTTTACACAAGCAAAATAATTGATGGATAGGAGACGACGATGTTTTGTGGAGGAAGAAATTTATAAACAACAAAAATACTGTTTCAGGAGTTTGTAGTCGCATTAAAATACATGATGTATTTATAACGTTTTCTGTGTGGGAACACAGGAATTGGGTAATATGTTTGAATGAATAACTCATTATTTTCAAAGAAATACGGAGCTTTGCCGCAAAGAAAATGGAAAATAATATGAAAACTGTCTGCCTGATTGGATTAGGTACAACGTGATCGTATCATTTTCTAACAATATTACAACACAAACAAATGTACTGCTAGTACATTTCCAATTATATTTCGTTTAATCTGAAGCAAAAATATTTTTGCGGCGAATAATATAGTAGTATTATGTTACTCGAACAAAAAACTTAGGTACTATCATTGTTTTGCGATATTATTTTAGAGATATTATTATATTTAATGAGTAGGTCTACTTCTGCCGAGGCGAGATTTTTAGTAAAATTTGGTATAAGTAGTACAGAATTTACGATAATGGACAACTTACGTCATCATCAATCAGTAGCCAAGCGCCATTATGTATAGACGTAGACCGCGTGCGGTGACGCCAGTTGTTGGCACGTAGATCATCCCCTAACTTTATGTTACGATCGGAACCTACATTAGAAACCGTATGCCGTGCCATGTTGTACAAATATAACACGACATGACAAGGAACATAGATCATATCATAACATAGTTTAGAACTAAAGGGCAAGTAACGGAAAGGTGTTTACTATGGTTTAGAAATAAAACGATATACACAAACACATGCGCAGTTATCTATTTCAACCACAATTTCAACTATGTATTGCGCTATGTACAAAATGTTAATGTAATCCTTCATGTAGGTTCCTAATGTCTGCCTAACATAAATACGTAATATCCAAAAACTACTTTAACTACAATCATATTACGTTATTTTTCCTTAACTTACGTGCGTGTTTCCTCGGTATGCGCACGACATCCATTATCACTCAAAGTCACGAAGACAAAGTTGGAAGGCCATATAGAAGCTGGTGTTCTAAGATATTGCATAATACAGCGTGCCTATCGGCTCAGGAAACGTTCTGCGATCGGATCTCAGAACACATTCATATAGTCGGCGCTGATAATGAAATTCTTTATCAAGAGGTGCACAGAGTGGCGGGACGTGCCTCGGAGGCGGGGAGTACGCCTAGAAACAATGGGCGCTTTTATGCGGCATTTTTATTTACTGTCTCACTAAAATTTTATCAATTTTTTTAAGCGTTCCTGACGCAAATTTAGAGCAAAGATAACGTAGGCTTCAAGTATTTATGTAGATTTAATATGCACCGCGAAAACCAATTAATTTATTAATGCCTCAAGTAAGTACGAATGATACAATGTAAAAAAGACTTAATTTCTAAATGGAATATAATGTAAATTAACATAAAAGTTAATAACATTTGTAGTCACGACCTTCGTGAAGATTTATACGCGAGTTTTGAGTTAAAGAATCGACGTTAACAAGCGTTTCCATTTAAATACGCTGAAATTATGTACATTCCAAGGTTAGACAGACGAGACTCATCGTCATTTACGAAATTAAAGTCTAATTGTATCACAAGTACACCTAACAAAGGCACACATTGTTCTTGTGTATTGCAATCTCGTTCATCTAGTATCGCTTTAGTATTACACCAACAGCCTACTTTCTTTATCCGATTTAACCCATTCAGGCCTAACAAAGACTTTGTTTAGTCTCCACAGACTAACTACCGGTTCAGCTGATTTTAGTGCGACCAG